CCCCTCTTTCCCAGCTACATCACCATGCCAGTGGCTGAATGCTGTTTGGAAACTTTCATTCCAGTGACTTAAGAAATGACTGGCTGGTGATAGCAACAACAAAGAGCCTCTTAGAAACAAAATCAGTATGTAATTTTTATGTCATCTTAATAACTACTGCATCTTCTCATGATTGCCTAAAATGTAATCTTGTTTATCTCTATTTTTCAGGTCTTTTCCAAATAACTATTGGGATAAATTTGTGAAAAGAAAGGTAAGGCTTACTTTTAAAAATATACATGAAGTTAAAATAAAGTTTTAATCCATGTTTATTTTCATGTTTGAAGAAATGTGGACTACACTTCTTTGAAATATAACTTTGCTTCAGTGTAGATTTCTGTATTTACTATTTAAAATACACAAAATTCCTTACTCACCTCATGCTTACAAACACTGTTGTGTGGTTTGTATAGTTACTCTTTCAAACTTTTTCTACATGCCGCTTGTTGCATAAAACAGGAATTCAAATACATTGATTAATTTCTGTGTACATTTGTATGTATGTAAATGGTTTTGTCTGTGTGTTTTAATGTATTCACCTCCATGCATACAGGATGGAGTCCATCAGCCAGGATAGGGTTAGAAAGAAATTTAGTATGAAGATATAGATGTTTAAGAACAGGGCAGAGTCAGACCAGCAAACTATATACACTCACCTGGCCCTTTTTGTCCCTTACCACTCTGTTTTCCCATACTTGTTCTCTTTATAACATCCAATGAGAAGTTATGTGCAATCCCCAAATGCTCTTGCTTCATCATCCCAAAATGTATCCCACATCCCATGGCAGTAACTGTCTTACTCTGAAAGGTGATCTGGAGTGGAACAAGTGTGTGATTCATCTTGATGAGTTTCACACCTGGACACTGGGGTTCTCCTGGGACAGCCCTGGAAGGTACCAGACAGGGTGTCCTTTCACTGGGAGTCTGCAATTTGGGTTCCTGCCTGCCATTGTGTCCCTGTGCTCCTCTAGGCTTAAGGAGATGGGCCTTTAATGGGCTGATGGCTCCTGTGATGGGCCTGGGAGTACCTGGACAAGGTATTTTTTGGACTTTCTCTAACCATTGTCTCATCTGCACGTCACACATAGGTGATAAAAGCTCATCTGCACAATCTAAAAATCTCTCTCAAAAATACTCTTCCATAAGCAGAGACTGTTCAAGTTAATTTCTTACGAACAGTTATGTCAGATGTTTTCTCAGCTTGGTCTTAGAAAATGAATGTTATGTATGTACCATAGTTTATAACAAGAATAGTCTTCCTAGTGGTTTTGGTCACAATTCAAAAAGAGGAGTTTTATGTTGTTAGATCAGATTTACCTCTCCTTCACACCATTTAATACTAGTCTTCAATCACACTTATGGAAACACGTCTTTTTAAGTACTAGTATCTCTTCTGCTTCATAACAGTTTTAGCTCAACCTATCTAAAAATTGCTTTGAGTTGTATATTCATTTTGCTGTTGGAAGTATTTTTTGCATATGTGAAGTTGTTAGATCTTTATTTCTATCTGTCTGACTAAGCAAGAAGTGGGGAGTGGCTTGCACAGAATACTCAGGGAAAAAAATAATCTACATTGCTTCTGTCAATGTAGTAGGTCAAGGAGGGTTCCTACTAAAAGGAAAGAAGCGTGGTTTTAAATTATATGGATGTTATAGCTTTGGTTGAGGAACTGCTCTGCATAGATTTAAGTGCCTTCAAACACAGTATTTTGCAAATGTTTTCTTTTATATATGCTTATATATAAATATACTTAACCCTCCAGCTTAGTGAATGATCCACAGTCATGAAGCACTGTTTTCAGGCATGTGACAAAGAAGGCTTGTCTCTAAAAATCTGCAAAAAATATGTTGTTTAACTCCAGCTAGCAAAATACCACAAAGCTGCTCTCACAAATCCCCCTCCCCTCCTCCAGTGGAGGGGAAGAATTGGAGGGAAAAGAAATAAGGAAGCTCATAAAATTGAAATAAGAACTATTTACTAATTAAATCTAAAGTAATATATACAAGTACTACTAATAATAAATAATTAAAACAACAGAAAATAAAACATATGACACAATATGATACAATTCCTCACCACACACTGACCAATGCAGAACAAAATACTGAATAGTGAGAATCAGACCCACAGAGCCCAGGAACTGCAGCCCGAGAGCGATCGCAGGCTGAGAGCTGCAGCCCAGGGCCAGAGCCTGAGCACTGCCGCAGCAGATTCCAAGCAAACCCTCTCAGTGATAGCAAGACCGGGAAAACTAAACAAACCAACCAACTATTTCA